TAAAGCATCAGTCTTATTTCATAGTTGTTTATGAGGACTTGTGTGAAGGAAAAATGCTAGCTTACAGGTGGGGGAGAGATCTGATTTTGATGATGACAGCAGATGACATTACTGGTAGAAGTTGAATTAGAGTTCTGGAAGGAGGCTATTACGCAGTGATACTTAGAACACCCTTATAAATTTAGAAGGTGGATTCTATTTTCAGTACCAGAAATAATTTTAGAGGCCCAGAGTAAAAGGGTGTAGATTAAATTTTGTCTCTCAGAATTCTCTGGTTTAGGTGTTATGAGCCTTGAAGGCAGGCTCTTCATTCTTTTATATTAGTGTCTCAGCTTAGGAAGGGCTTTGAATGGATCAAGAATTTAGATTCTTGGCGTCATTAAGAAGAGAACATAAGGAGGATACTTGGGTGTATTTGGCAAAGAGCCAAAATCTACACATTGGACAGACTTTGAATTCTGGCTCTGCCATTTACTAACCTTTATTCTTGTACAATTTATTAATAACTCTGATTTTCAACTTCCTCATATTTAAAATGGGCCTTATAATAACAGGGTTATTTGAAGAAAAATGTGTATATGGAAAACATTTAGAACACTGATCTATAGAAAGACTTATTTAAGTGTTAATCATTATTGTCAATCTTTATCTTATTTATTTTCCTGATCTGCTTGTATCCACTTACTGCAACTGCTGAAAGAAATTTGTATAATTTTTTGGGGTGCCCTCTGTTAACAGATGTGAGGGCTGCAAGATGTATAGGATTTCTTTAGTTCACATCAGTGCCCAGAAGGACTAGCAAGTGTTTGGCTCTTTTTAAGTGGCCATTTCAAAAGATCATTGCCCCAAATTTACCTCTGTAAATTTGTGAGTGGCAGCAAGATGGGTATAAGAGCACAGAGGGCTTTCAGTGCTTTTACCAGGCTCTTGGTCATCACTGTCTGAAGCTTAACTTCTTCATTCCTGATGTGGTAGTACTATGACTTATCTCCCGGAGTTATTGTGAGAATTATGTTACAAGTGAAATCAGTAAAATCTCTGGCACACAGTAGGTGCTCAGCATTGGCTGTAACTATTGTACATCTAAATCTGTTACAAATCTACAGGTCTTGGGTTTACTTATCTCTTTGGAACATATTGATGTTTGGGCTCCCACTAGGTGGGGGCCATTTTATACCTGGGTCATGAAGGTAGCATGTCAAGAAGAATTTCATGAGGCCTCCAGAGCTGGACAGAATTGGCTGTTAAGCTCAGTCCTGCCTCAGACTAGCTGTGTGATTTCCCTTTCTTTGAGTTTAACTTTGCTGATAAAGGCTGGAGTAATAAGGTTCTTTTGTCACAGGGTTGTTCTGAGGATTAAATGAAATAATCCATACATAAGTGTTTACTACATATTAGACTCTAAGGAAATGATATTTACTCTTTATCCTAAAAATACAAATGGTAGCTTCAGAGCTCCATTCTTATTGACTGTTTATCTTCCCTTATATGCTTCATTTAATTTTGCTTTTTTTTCTGAGTTCATTTTTCTTTTCTGAATGTATTCATTGTCATACTATCTTTAAAAGTTTTATTCCTGTCTCTTATATTTTTTAGTAATTTAGATATAAGTTTGGAATGCATGTAATTTTGCTTTCTGCTTTTATCACTTAATATTAGATGGTTAATAATGAATGTCTGGATTTTATTGCATAACGTTGACTACATGTACCTTAATTTAATATTTTTTTCTATTGCCATGCAATTATGTTGTTTTCAATATTTTGCAATCAAAGTGTTTGAATAAATGTAGCTTTTTAAGATTTTTAAATGTAATCCCATAGGATGAATTCTACGGGTAGTATTTGTCCAAAGGGGGTAAACCTTTTATAAGTGTGGCCAAATTGCTTTAAAGAAGGATTCAACTGAATTATTTTTCTTTCTTCATTATTTTACCAATTTCAGGCCATTTTCATTCAATTAGCATTTCTTAAGCCCTTATCATGTGGCAGGCTTAGTAAGAAGAAAATGACCATAGGGGAGAAATATGAATATATATTGGTGCCAAGTGCTGATAAAGGCCATAAATGTGTGAGTATCTGGGGAACACTAACAGGGAGTGCCTGCTCAACAGATAGAAGAGCCCAGTGCCATTTGACAGGATGGAGATGTCGATGTGTGTTGCCTCTTAGGGATTATTACAGGAATAGTTAGTTAGACCAGCCCTGTCTTTGGTCTTGGAGACCCCATGATCAACATGCTTTCTTTCAGAGAGGCACCCTGTATCTTTTTTCTCCCTGGTGTAATAGCTGCGTTTGGCAAACTATCCATCAGTTATATGTTGGCAGAGGTTTTTGTTCTATTAGAGAAGTAACATATGCTTGTTATGGAAAATTTAGAAAACATAAGAAATTACCTATGTCCTTCTATTCCCAAGGTATCCACTGTTAACTATCTTTGCATTTCTTTAAAAAAAATTTTTTTTTTGATTTGTTTAAAGTACCAAAAGACCAAGCAACAAATAACAAAAAAAGCAAAAACAGCCTGAAGCACCAACAATAGCAGAAAGGTTAAACTAATTATGGTCTTATACTGTGGAATATCAAATGACCCTTAAAATCCATATTTTAAGATAATAATCTTGTCATGAAAAACAGTCCCAGTATGACACACAAAAGTACATGTGCTGTATAACCTCAATTTTTTTAACATTTCTTTTTTTAAATTTACTTATGCATACAAGAACTGGGGTATATGCCATAGGTGCAGGAGCAGAAATATACTGCTGAGAGAACAGCAGGCCAGATGGCCTGGGATTAAACCCAGGTGAAGTGGCTGGCAATAACTTGAAAATGCCGTGCCTCTAGACCTGGATGCATGGTGAAGGATTTTGTACTGTCCCCAACTTTCTCCAGTCTCGGGTGCACATAGGTCATCAAATATGCATGCATTTCCATTGTCCCGTGAGCCCTCTTTTCAGGCCCATGGGGGCAACTTTTTGTGTACTTAAAGGAGTAGGGAAGGGTGAGGAGGTGGGTATATTAGATAAAAGGGATCAGTTGTGTGGTGGAGGATGGAAACTAAACTTCTAGTAGTGATCAAAATATAATATATATATATAAATATATATATAATGTCAAATTATAATGCTGTATATCTGAAACCTATAAAAATAAAAGGAACCTAAATAAAATATGTCGTATATAAAAATATAAAGACTTTTATAAAAGATTAAAAAAACAATAAAAATACAAATAAGAGGTAGCATATATTTAGATCATAGACTGCCTGGCCCTTTCCGTTCAACAAATGGTCATTACATCCTGACACTATGAATTGAACCCAGTATTGATACTGCAGTTAGGAAGCCAGTGAAAGAAACAGATGACTTGAGGACCTCAAGCTAATTCTATAAGGAATATGCACAGGTTACTGTAGAAACACAGTGGAAGGGTTTTAAATCAGGCTGAGATTTTACTAAAGGAAATTGTGTCTGGATAAGTCTTGAAGAATGAATGGAGGTGAGTCAGACAAGCAGGATGGGAAGTATCTTCCTTCTCTCCAGGAAAACAGTGATATAAGCAGAACTACAAACCAGTTTTCTTTTCACTTTTTTTAACTGTAGTGTTGAAGAAGGCTGGAAAAGTGATCGATTTCTTAACAAACTTTTCTTTGGGTTTTCCAAAGCCAAAGCATTCGGCAGCCACATTATGTTGACATTCATGATGCTCTGTCTTATTTCCTGTTCAGTGTCAGCTGTTGCTGGAAGTGGCCTGGCCTCTATTTATCTTCTTGATCCTGATCTCTGTCCGGCTGAGCTACCCTCCCTATGAACAACATGAATGTAAGTATCTGAGTATCCTGTGTGAGACTTTAACCACTGGCAAGCAAAATGCAGGCAATAGACCTGGGCTAAATTTGAACTTTTCAAAGACATATCTTCTGGTGCAAATGGTGTAAAACAGCAAATTGAAGCTTCCAGGTTTTTTTTGTTTTGTTTTTTTAATATAAACCATGAACTGAGGAAACTATTTTCAGTTCAAGTGAGTGGTGATAATAGTAACGATGAAATAGCAAACATCTGTTTCATGCATTGTATATAGTGAAAGTGAAACAACCTTACTGAAAGTTTAGAAAATGGTGATTAAAATTAAAAAAGCACCCTTTGCAGTGCCTTTACACCACTACCATCTATTCCTTGCCAGTCTTTCTCATTTGCATTATGTTTTTATTACACAGTTGAAAAACATGAAATGTATCATTTTAAGTAGGATTTGTATAGGACTCAGATTAACAAATATCATTTCATTTGATTCATAACAACCATGTATAATAGACTTTATTACTGATTTTATAATAGACCTTATCTTTGCTTTAATAATTTGATAAGTAAACTGTGGCTCAGAGAAGTGCCAGGGACTTGTTCAAGGTCACACATCTAGTAAGTGACAGATAAAGTTTAGGTCATCTGACTTCCAATCACGTGTTATGATAATAGCCTTACAGGAAGCATCAAGGTAAACTCGTGGCTAAGAACACAAACTCCAGATGTCAGTCTAGTTGGATTTTATTCCTGGCTTCAGTTATTACTAGGAATATCACCTAGGGCAAGTGAAGTAGCTTCTGAATACCTGAGTGTTATTGTCTTTATGAAAGGGGGATTGTAACACCCTATATGCTTGTCTTGAATGTGAGCTCACACTCACTTGGTTACTCACTGGATGATTGACATCATAGCAGTAGCTCCTGTGCTTCTGTAGGAGGTTTAGCTGTTGCTTTGCCCCGCTGATGTTTCCTACCTTTAAACATCCCTACTCACAACCGACCAGCCCCATAGATTTGCAGGATAGTATTCTCCATGGAAGAGAAGGGGCTAGAATCTTACCTTTTAATTGAGCTCTTGGTCTTGGTTCTTGTTTCCATCACTCTTATAGAAAGAACATAGCTGCAGTTATTTCCCTATTAATTTGCTAGTACACTTTTATAGTATTTAAGTTTAATAACAAAACCTCATGAGTGTTTTCCCAGACATGAATTTGTGATTTCACCAATAAGGAAAAAGTATAAAATAAAATCTGCACTCAATTTAGGAGGTAATTATGCTTTTGCTTTTAGAACCTGAAAGAGTTTTTGCCGATTGATAAACAAATGAATATTTGTTTACCTTAAGTTTATGTTTTAGGGAAGACTCAGCCATTTCATCTGTTAGGCTAGTCTCTCCCTGGAATGATCACACACAGGCAAGATAGTGTAGTAGAAATAGCACAGACTTTGGCATCACATAAAGTGGAGATTGGATCTTGGCTCTTAGTTCTGCCACTTGCCAAGTCTGTGATCTGGGGAAAGTTGTTAAATTTTAATTCAGATCCCTCTGAATCTAGACCATTGGTCTCAGAAATGCGGTCACTTTTCTATACAGATAGGAGGAAAAATAAGATTTTTGCTTCCATTTATGCATGTTTTGCAACCTTAACCTGTTTCCCCACCATCTACCGACCCAGTTGGAAGAGAATTTGAGGAGTATTTCCTCTGAGAACAAAGGCTTAGTATACAGTTCTTCCCCCTAAATCTTTTCTGTTGTGACCCAGAGTCTCTGAAGTCCTAATAAATTCCCTGGGTCCTGGGAATTTATGCTATTTGATTGTCATCCTGTGCAACCAAATGTCAAGTTCTCACGTGACTTTTGCTTGCAAATAAGGTGGAATACAGCATACATGGAAAGGTGTCTGCTTCACTCATTAAGGTATTTCCTCAGATACCTTTACCTCCCACTGCCCTGTGCTGTCTGGATGAACACTACCCTGTCCTTTGTGCCAGTATCTCCGGGAGGTTAAAGGGGAGAATCCCTTGGTCCTTCGAGTATTTGGTTGGGTTGCATAAATCTCTGCTGAATGAGGGGCAGATGACTTAGGCAAGGGACCATGTTTGATTTTCCGTGACCTTTTAACAGGGAGATAAAGAGGTTAACTGAGTAAATGTTCAAAAGGCCAGAGTCCTTGCAGAGGGTGGCTGCAGTGATCAGATCTTGTTACATCCTTGCTTTGGATGTTCCCTTTCTGCCTGGAAGTAGAAAGAGGGATGAAACCAGTATTGAAATACAGCTTGTAGCAGGTCTTGGGTGTGGGTTAACTTTTGATGAGATTCTGCAGGTGCATTTGCATAGAAATAAAAATCCAACTAAAACGGGTTCTGCTTTGGAGGAAGATGGCAGCTGCGAGATGGAAGGAGCATTCCTGGCTAGACAATAGCAAAGCAGCTACTATTGTAGTTTCACCACCACAGAGCCTCAGTAATCCAAACAGGCCTGTTCATTGAGCTGTGGGCTCTGCCAGGTATTCTGATACATGCTTTGCCTGTATGAATTTGTGGAATTCTCAACATAGCTCTGTGAAGTAGACCACATTTTTATAACTGTTTTTACAAATGAGGAAACGGGGGTTTAGGGATTCAGGGGCTTGACCAAAGTTGGTGCTTAGAGAGTTGCAGAAACTGGATGTGAATCCCAATTGGTGTTATGTCAAGGTCTGTGAAACCACCTGGGTCTTTGCCACCTTGAGACATAGTTTTATTGCTCTTTTAACTCTTTCTGGGTCACAGGTAGCCTTGGGAATATGATGAAAGCTGGAGGCTTGGTTTTCCTGTCCAGAGGAATTTGTATGTGCTTGGAACTCCAGTTAAGATTCTGGTTGGAGGAGAACATGTTGATCTTGATATTCATTACTTGCTCCTTTCCACGCTGACTGCCACACACCACACTGTGCCTTTGACACCAAGCACCAGCCCAACTCCACGCAGGCATCTTGCTTGTCAGAAGCTCTCCTGTATTGAAGGCAGAGGGCCTATTAGATGGACCTCATTGTTGAAATACAAGACAGCCACACCAGTGTAGCTTCACAGCTGACACCTGACCACAAGTCACTGGTCCAAGGAGCTTGTGAGCTGGCAGAGAGGTGAACCTAACATATGATTGGCTAACAGAGGACAGTACCAGGGACAGCTAGACTATAAAGGTGACTACAGATCTAAGGGAGGGGGCTTGGGTTGAGCTCAACCTGAGCTGCAGAGATGTGGGTTCTGCTCTCCATTTTGCTTATGGACTTCCTGAGTTCTATTTCTATGCAAAAGGCTGTGGTTTCTTTTTATTTTCTCATAGTTGCCTCTTTGTGGTGTGAAGCAGTTCAGTTAGGTGATCCCCAGGGCCTCTGTAGGTAAACTAAAGATGAACCAATGAGGATCAAGTCCTTGCTGTGCATCACCTACTTGATGTGTATGATCTCATCTGACCTTCTTGTCCCCTCTCCCAAGGTCGCTATCACGATTCCCATCCTACAGGTGATGTTGTGCAGGTGGGGGGCTGCTATCTGCTGCCAAGTTTCTAACTCGGGTGGTAGCAGGTCCCTGGGATATGGGAGATAGGACAGATTTAGAATGAAACAATGGTTCGTTAGCATCAATAGAGGTAAGATTCCTTCCTCTCAAGTCCCAAAATTGCATCAAAGAACTAATGTTTCTCGTGTTTTTCTTCAACAGGCCACTTTCCAAACAAAGCCATGCCCTCTGCAGGAACGCTTCCTTGGATTCAGGGAATTATCTGTAATGCCAATAACCCCTGCTTCCGTTATCCGACTCCTGGTGAGGCTCCTGGGGTTGTTGGAAACTTTAACAAATCCATGTAAGTACCAGATCAGGTTTTCTTTTCTTTTTTAAATATTTATTTATTTATGCATACAGAACTGAGGTACAGGCCAGAGGTGCAGGGGCAGTGAGAGAATTCACCAGAGACAGAGTGAGGAGCAGAACAGGCAGATTGACAAAGTACACTAATGAGAGGAGCAGCAGATGGGGCAGGAGAGGTCTGCCATGTCTTGTGGGTCACCTCCGGGGCTGGGGATTGAATTCACACTGTGGCTAGCTTGCAGTGCTGCGCTTTAACCCTCTGTGCCACCAGGGAGGGCCCAAGGTTTTCCAGCCCTAACTTGTCTATCTTAATATTTTCCTCCCTTCTCATCTGCTGGAGATTTACTAGTGGATGGACTTGTGTGAAGTTGCTTTGGTAAAGGTTTGTGTAGAAACATCAGAAGAACATGGGAGAAGAAAATTGCCACTAGCATTTAAGACTGTGGGGCCTTTGTTGTGTTGTAGAAGTAATGAGAAGTCACTCTAAGTGTGATTGGTAAATAGGCAGGAAGACAGCAACATGAGCTCCACCCAGTAACTAGTCATTTAACTAACAATTACTGTGGTTAGATGTCTAGTTTATGAGCTGGGGCTGTGTGTGTTTGTGTGTGTGTGGTGTGTGCTCACATGCATGTGCACAAAGGAAGGGCCTGCCCTCAAGCTGCTCAGATCAAGGCTGGGGCAGTCCTCACCTCCCTGCTCTGTCCTGTCCTACTGTGCTGTCTGTGCTGCCTGTGGGCCTTTCTTTTCTCTGGGTGTGAACTCCCTGGGGCCCAGGACAGTACTTTCTTTCCTTTTGCATTCCTGGCCAGACTTCAACACCAAAGTATAAGTATAGACTTAAATCACTGTTTGCCAAAGGAGACCTTGAATGCAAGGAACCATCCCATGAGTTGGAATGGACTAGAGGCTGTAGAAGATGTAGCAAGTCAGTTTTAAGGAGCTGCAGTTGGGGCAGGTAAGGCCAAGCATAATGTTTATGTACCTTAGGCATTAGCCTTCATGGGCCCCATCTTCCATGTAAAGTATTAAAGTTCTTAATTTATAATTGTGTTATTATAATGATGAATATACTCCAGTTTGGATTTATTCTCATAGATACAGGCATACATTCCTAATATATTCATTTTTAAAATTCTGACTTTAAAGGAAATTAAAACTTATTTTTGTGGTTTTCAGAGAGGATCCTGGGAGGCAGGCCCTAAGCCTACTATGTCTCATGGATACATTGGCCCTGGGGGTGTTTGTGCATTGAGTGTGTGTGTTAACAGTCAGCTGTGCGGATGCATGGTGAAAAGCATTAACAGTCAGGGTGGTGCATGGGTGGTAGGGAGCACAGGTACCAGTGACTCTGCTGTGGGAGCAGTTGGAACTGGCCAGAGCGGGCAGTGGAGGTCCTAGTGGCCAGGCTTTTGATGGGCACATCTTCAAACTGGAGAGGAAGTTGGCCTAACAAGGGCTTTTTTGTTTTCCTGTCCCTCCTGCAGTGTGTCTCGCCTCTTCTCAGATGCTCAGCGGCTTCTTTTATATAGTCAGAAAGACACAAGCATGAAGGATGTACAGAAAGTTTTGAGAACATTACAACAGATCGAGAATTCCAGATCAAGTAAGTGAAAACCTTCTATATGTCAGTTTATATAACTGAAATTGATCTGCATCGGGGAGATGATAGTCCAGTGGCCCTGGAATTGTTCCTTTAACTGCTCTGCACCAACTTTCCTTCTCAGTGGCTGGGCTGCAAGGCCTCTCTGCAGGAGCATTTGAGAAGAAACTAAGCAAGTTGGTTGCCTCAGACTATGATTGGCTGGCTTTTGAGGAAACAAGAAACATCACTAGAGAGGAATGGCACAGACTTCAGTTAGGGCCACTTGGGGGTGTGGGGTGCTGCCAGCTTGCTCTCTTTGGGGTTGGCCATAGTATTGCAATAAATAGACATTATTATAATGGGATACTTCTGTGCATTTAAGAGCAGTTAAATCTTCCGGTTCATGTGGATAAGAGAAAGTTAAGCATAGATTCCTAAAAGGAAAAGGCAATTCATCTTCCTCCCTAGTCATTTGATTTAGTCTGATGAGCATTTGAACTCTGATCTTTAAAAAGTGAATTTTTTACTTTTGATCTATAAGTATCCCGGCAATTTATTGCATGCCATTTAGAAGTGTCTAAAGAGCACGCAGTTTCCTGACCAAGGAACTGGCTGCAAAAGTCACAGAGCAACCTGTTGGCCATGGCCTAACAAGTGGGCAGCCCTCTCTGAAGGCAGTGATGGTGTGCATGGTATGTAGAGAATCTAAAAGCAATAAAGAAGCTGAGCAAAAGTCGATCTGGTTTTTATTATCACCATTCACTGGTGGTTCTAAACAATGTCAGTGATAAATTACAATTGCCGCTCCGCTGCTACTCCCAGAAAATACTTTTATTTCGTTTGGCGTTTTAGGATGCATGGGGGTGGGCTGGCCTTTGCTGAGGTATCTCCCAGCTCATGATTGATCCATTTGGCTAAAGAAGTAATGACAGAAAGTGCTGGAGTTTGAACCAGACTTGGGACTTTTTTTTTTTTTTTACTTGAAATTATTCTTATTTATTTATTTTAAAGATTCATTTATTTGTACATACAGAACTGAGGTACAGGCCAGAGGCTCAGGGGCCGCGAGAGGCTTCACCAGAGACAGAGTGGGGAATAGAACAGGCAGATCGACGAAGTACACTGCTGAGGGGAGCAGCGGGCGGGTCAGGAGAGGTCTGCCACGCCATGTGGTATCCTCCGGGGCAGGCGGGAATCAAACTCATGTGGAAGTGGCTTTAGCTTCTTAGTGCTGTGCTTTAACCCGCTGCACCACCAGGGAGGGCCCCAGACTTGGGACTTTTTATTGAGTGCATAGCATTATGCTTCCCTGGACAGGAAGTGAGGCAATGGGGCAATGTGGACCTGCTGACAAAGGGAGGCAAAACTGGGGTGGGGGCTGGCGCATAAGACATGTGACTTCACATTAGAGAGGGGTATGGTTGTGTGGGCAAAACTGGGGTGGGGGCTGGCGCATAAGACATGTGACTTCACATTAGAGAGGGGTATGGACTGTGGGATCAGCTTTGAGGAGCTTCCCACTGGGCCTTTCCTGGCCACATGTCCTGGCCATCTGGACACTGTTTCCTGGTCCTGTAGGTTCCTGGTCCTGCACATATGTGTTTGTCTGTTCCTGTCCAGGACACTGAGAGGTAGCAACCTCCAGTTAAAGTGTCAGTTCTTCCTGATCTGCTGGAGAGCCCTGGCCTGGTAGACCAGAGCCAGAACTGGGGTTATTTCTTCTAAGACAGAATCTGTTACCTTGATAAGGATTTATAACTTTCTAGCTTTGTGACTTTGTGAGTAATCATTTAGCCCCTTATAGGACTGCTGTGAGGAATCAATGAGATCACAACATTTAACTGCTTAAAACAGCATCTGGCACATATGGAGCACTTAGTGAATAAGAGCTGTGCTTATGTTGGGATGGTGATGTCTGATGCCAAGTCAGTTAACCTCTCTGTGCCTTAGTTCCTCAGCTACAAAATAATAAGTGACTTGCAATATAAAGCCTAACAGTGTCTGGCACATAGTAGCTGTCCGATAAGTGGGAGCCAATATTATTCGGTGACAGTGATCTATTTCTGAACATGGCTGTGCTCTTCTTCCTCTCAGCTCATGGCTGGAGAAATAACTGACTGATGGGGTGGGGGGGAAGATGTTGATCAGATTTTAGGTTTTAGTGGAAGTTGCCTTAGACACCACTGGTTTTCATTTTGGAGCAACAGGAAACTTGAATTAGCTTGGTGAAGAGAAGCCAAACCTGTGTTCAAATGCTTTCTCTGCACAGCTCTGAGGAGAGAAGGCCTCTTTTGATTTTGACTTTGTCATATCAATGCTTATTACACACTTCACTATTGATTCAGTACCTTTATCTTTCTGCCCTGAAGCCACTCTTAAATCTTTCTACCTTTTTTTGGCTTGTCTTGCAGCATGGAGCCAGTCTGTACTCTTGAGGAAAAATCACAGAAATGTTGCCACCCTTTAGAAAGGGATCAGTAACACTTTGCTGAATTTGATCTAGACAAATTTGATCTAGATCTGAAATCTAGACAGCTTGTCTAGATTTCAGAGGCTGGCATATGTCAGTGTTCATCCTGACTTGAATTTGTGTGTATGCTACCCCAGCTGACAGTGTGATGGGTTGGCACTTGGACTGGCACTTTCAGGACTGGATGGCACCTTGGAGCTGGTGTGGTTTGGAACCTTGCCTCATTAGTCTCTTCACCACACACCTACTTCCCATAATGGGGACTTACCTTCAAAGACACAGCAGCTCTGATGATCAGAAATCCTTACTAACCTGCTGTCCCTTCCAGATAGGATGTTTATTCTATTTCTCATGAGACTATTTAAAAACAAATCTTGTGTTTTATCCCCTCTATTCCCAAAGTCTCTGACTTCTCTAGGGTAAATATCCCTCCATTCTTCTTCTTGTATGTTCTGTCCCCTGATTTTAGCTGCTTCTCTGGTTGTTTTTAGTATGTCTGTATCTTTCTTGAAGTTTATTAAAAAAAGAAAGAAAGAAAGAAAGAAACACAGACCACAGTAGAAAGGGAATTTTGCCTCCTTTCTTCTGAGCACAGTATTCCTTTTCCTGCAACCTGAGATTACATTAGTGCTTTCTGGCATCCACGTCACACTGTTGACTCATATTCTATGTGCAGTCAACCAAAATTGCAGAATCTTTTAAATACAGTTTTGCCAGTTACATGTTCTACACTTTAAATTGTGCTGTTGGCTTTTTGAACCTAAATAGAAAATATCTCTTTTTTATTTTGCATTTTTAGCATCCTACTAAAACCATGTTAGAGTCTGATTTTGTCTTGTATTATATTGGCTGTGTCTTATTGTTCCCTGCCATGTAGGAATTTGATAAGTAGTTCTCTTTGTTCTCATTCAAGTCATTGATGATTGTGACATCAACGATTGAGGTTTGGGTCCACCTCTGGTCACTAGCTCTCAGGTTCCTGTAGATCTACCAAGATATGTTATCATCAGTGCTAAACCATTGGGCTCCTGCCTCTGTGGTCTGGTTGGAGGGTTTGTCCTGTTTTTCCTTCAGATTTGTACTTGCTAAATCTACTGGATTTAGATAATTTGTAGATATGGAGGTGTTTATTCAAACAACCCCTTCAAGTGTCATGGTTTCCTGTGCCTTTTTTTGTTTGTTTGTTTAAGATTTATTCATGCATACAAGAACTGTAGTACAAGATAGAAGTGTGGGAGGTGAGAGGAAGATTCACCAGAGACAGAGTGAGGAGCAGAACAGGCAGATGTACTGAAATATACTGCCGAGGGGAGCAGCGGGTAGGTCAGGAGAGCTCTACCATGCCATGTGGGTCTGTTCCCCAGTTGGGAGTCAAACTCGTACTACAGTGGCTTCAAATAGCTTCATAGTGCTGCACTTTAACCCATTGCACCACTAGGGAGGATTCCTGGGTCTTTTTTTATTTCCACATATTTGTTGATACATTAGAAGCCATCAACTGAGTTGATTGATTCAGTCATTTGACCAGTGTTTATTGAACACCTAATATGTGCCAACTACTGTTGCAGGTGCTGGTTCACATAGGTGTCCAGAATGATTCTTTGTTCATAAAGAATGTCTATTTTACAAAGGAATCTGATCCAGGTAGAAAAAGGGACTTTCCCAAATTTGCATAGTCAACAGAAGGGAATGCAGGGATTTGCACATAGCTAAACCTGTGCTGCATACAGTTTTCTTGCTATAGCGTTCTCTTGTGTGTTCTAATAATCTTCGAGCTGGAAAGGCCTTCAGTTTTAAGAATTTAATCATGGACCAGTGTAATTACATTTGAAACCATCCTAGTGAGAAACTCACATAGGAAGCCTTACTCAGGTGGGCTTACAAAATTTTTTCATCACTTAGACCTTTTTTTATTTTTTTGACATTTTATTATTTTCTTATTTGAATGGTGGCTAAATAATTGCTTGTGAGTCAGTGTGAGGAGAATTTGTTCTACTTAAGTCTGTATTGTGATTGCAACCCAGTGGAAATGTAAAAATTGCACAGATCTCAGAAAATCTGCAAAAGTTTTATATTTTTTTGTGAGATATAGCCTGGAAAGGATGACTGTCCCTTTGAGTGAGTTTTGTGTGGTATCTGAGATGATTTCAGGCAGCACATGTGTGGGGACCTTTAATCCATATTAAATCAAGTTCAAATTTCATAGTTATTGCTTAGAAGGATATTAAATAGGAAAAAATAAAGTTCATTTAAAGAAGGCATCCTTTGTAACACTAGTGAGAGTAGTTGGTTAAATGATTGAAGCTTGGGAAATGTTGGTGAAAGAAAGTGGAGCTTTGTATTACAATTCATTTCGAGAACAAATTCAAGCACTATCATTTATGATGAAACCTTGGGAATATTTTGATTTTTTTTCTGACCCCCAGTTTGTCTGAAAAATGGAGATTAACTGCCCTGAGGGTCATCGAGCATTAAATCAGATGCCATCTCTGGATGACGGATAGTGGGTCATAGCGCAGAGGTGACATACAATAAATCTGAATTGGTTTGC